TTGCTATGAGCAGCACAGTGCTCATCACAGTAAGACCTAGACCAAAGCACAGCCCTCTGATACCGCTGTTATAAAACATTTTTGAATCTTAAGTTAGAAGATAACAAGTAAGAGGAGAATATCCACAGCATCATGGATTTCATTCAACCCTGAGGTAAAACAAGTGCAGCCTGTCCCATTGAGGCTATTCTTCTAAACAATGAGTATTTGCCATCCACAGATCTGATAAGAGACCTGTGATCCACGTAGAAGTTATTCTGGAACCTGCAACCCTAAGAGCTAGGCCAGAACAAGCGCTGGATTCCATTACATTGAGCTGAAGAACCAACCTGTGTGGTTTCAACACTCCTTCCTTCATGCTACACCCTCAAAATCAGACCTGCAGCAGAACTTCTATCTGAGTCCATGGGTCTGGATGGCTCTGCATTGAGACAAGGCAAAAAAGTCATGACTTCAAACACAGTTTGTGCAAGGTGAAGTGATTTAATTCTCTCACATGGATGCTTTTGTCTTGTCTTTTTAGCTCCCTTCAGGAAAACAGGTGTAGATAGGTGAAGTTACCAACTTACTGTATGTATTGTAAATATTTTTTCCTGGTATCTGAGTGTCAGCCTGAAACTTCAAATAAGGAAGTTAGCAACTCGTTTAGGATTCTTACATTAAAAAACACCCTGTAAATTATCAGCATCAGAGGGAAAAGCTTGAAGACATCATGTGGGTTTCCTTGTTTGCTCTTTTTTTGTAAACCACTGTCTCGTTATATCGCAAAACAGTCAGATCTGAAAAGGTGCAGAGTCTCCCAAATCCCATAGCAATCTCAGATCCATAAATAACTCCAAATATTCAAATTTTAGTCAGGTCTCTGCAGAGCTTCTAAGCCCAGCACTGTGGCAAACCAATCAGGAAACCAACCTGACCGGAGCATCCTCTTAACAATGACACAATCAGCAAAGCACAATGGGAATATGTGAAAAGAGCATTCTTCAGCAACTGCAGTTTTCAGTGCAGATCTCCACACGTGTCCCTCCGATCCCACTGGTAGTTCAGAATATTTAGGAACTTGGAGGATGGGCATTTGGGAGAGTTTGCTCTGGTGTAATGAGCACAAACACTGCTCGAGAGAAGGGAAGCTACATGCATGCATCACAGGTAGTTACAAATCTCATCTGAACTGTTGAAAACATGCAGCTCTTCTGCTCAAGTCTAGGAAGAGAAAAATCTACAAGTCATCGCTGTAGTCAGTATCCAAGAAGATTCTGCTATAACAGTCCCTTCTGAAAGCCAACGTATGGCAGTAGGAAAAAGCAGAATTGAGTCCTTGCTTCTTGAGCTTCTCGCACAAACTCCTATTTCAGCAAACAAGGCAAAGTCATGGCACTGAAAGATGACAACAGCCCTGCATTTCTAAATTAAGACACTGAAATGCATTTAATATTCACATACTCATCACAAACACACAATATAAATTCCCTAACATACAGTAAAGCAGTTCATTAGCAAATGTCTCATTGGATTAAGTCTGCTCTTATTCTATTAGGGAACTTTCACATCACATTAAACTGCAACACAATAGGTGTTTGCTAACACAGGATGAACAGAATTATCAACCCCTTCTCAGAAACACACATAGACATGACAGTGACAGATCAGGCTACAGGAGCTCTCAGGAATGTCTGGCTTAAATGGAGCAGCAGGGTTTTTGAGAAGACTAACTATTCTCCATCCCTCAACAAAAGGGAACTTCACCGAGAGGCAACTCACTCATTTACACCAAGAACATTCTATTTTGCCAGTCAAGCAGACATGATGTACTGAAACAAATCAGTGACGCTCAACAGTATAAACTCAACTGCCCTCTTACCTCAAGTCACAGAATCAGAGACTGGCTGAGGCTGGAAGAGACCTCTGGAGATCATCTGGCCAACCCCCTTGTTCGGAGCAGGGTTGACTAGTTCAGATTGTTCAGGATCTTGTCCAGTCAGGTTTTGAATCTCCAACGACAGAGAATCCACCGCCTCTCTGCGCAAACTGTTTCAGCATTTGTCCACCCTCACAGTGGAAAAAAAAAAGTTGGGATTGTCTTTGGTTTTTTAGAGGAAGACAGCATGTCCTGTATTTCAATTTGTGCCCATTTGTGCCCTGGGCAGTTCTTTCACGGGTTATCACTGGGGAGAGACAGGCTCCGTCTTCTTTCACCGTCTCATCTGATATTTATACAAACTGGTAATACCCCCCCCGACCCTCCTCTTATCCAGGCTACACAGTCCCAGTTCTCGCAGCCTCTCCTCATACGAGGGAGGCTCCAGTCCCTCAGTCATCTTTATGGTCTTTCACTGGACTCACTCTGGTATGCCCATGTCTGTCTTGTCCTGGGGAGCCCAGGAACGCACCCAGCACTCCAGATTCAGCAGTGCTGAGCAGAGGGGAAGGAACCGCTCCCACAGCTTGCTAGCAATGTTCTTCCTAATGCAGCCTGTGATGCTGTTGGCCTTCTTTACTGCAAGGGCACATTGCTGGCTCATGTTCAGCTTGTCCACCAGGACCCCCAGGTCCTTTTCTGCAAAGCTGCTTTCCAGCTGGGTCAGCTCCCAGCCAAAATTCTCCTCTCATCTCATTCGTGTTCTTTTTGACACCACCTGCAGAACCTGGCTCACTATATGGAAAGCTCTAATTCCTTTCATTTAAAAAGACCTCCTGCTTATTAAGACAGGTGTGAAGATAAAAGGCTGGGGGGTGGGGAGAGGGGGCAGAGTGGGAGAGGCAAAGAGATACGGCTCCTGTCTTTAACTGCTTTGTTGATAGGCCTTAGTTACGTTTAACAAGACAGCTTCCTTCTTCCCCCACAGGAGCAGGTTTTCTTCCCTCCCTTTGCACTTGCTTACAGCTTATCTTGGCCTGTCTCATGGTAGCATGGGCCTTGATGAATGACACATGGTCATCCATCTTTGAGTACTGCACTTTGATGATAAATGGAGTACATTTGGAAAGCAGTCTGAGAAAAACCATAAAACTGATAGCCAAAAGAAAAAAGGAGAAAGAAGAGGAGACCCCAATGTTGAGCAACAACTACACAGTTTAATGAGGTAAGATTGATGTACAATAAATATTAGCTGAACAAAGTGAGACAAACAGCACAGAGCAGCAAATTCCAGGTTTTGAAGTCACTATTCTAGAAATGTCTAGGAGAAGAACGCAAAAGTCTATCATGTAAGAGTCCTTGTCTTGATTTCTGTAAACCTTTGGTAAGGTTTTCAGATCTTCACAAAGCATCCCACTTTGTAATGCTCACCTCAGTACCTTTTTCTTCCCATTTATTTCACTGTCCTCAACTGTATTAAAGGTAGTCCACTTCCTGAACACTCCCTGTCTACTCATCAGGGATTAAACCGATTCCCTCCTGTTGCTTTGTGGGATAAAATCTGGAGCACAACTTATATACGCTTACAATCCACCCAAGTTGCACACAAATTTCATCAGTGAGGCAGAGGAAGGACCCCATTTGTCTCCCTCACCTTCTTCCCAAAAAACATAGGACTACAAGTTATCAGCACACTATCTAAGCTGTATCTCACAAGTTTGTTGTACCGATAGACTGTATTAAAACATCCTTCATTTACAATCATATCATGCTTATGGGCAAAGAGAAGCTCAGGATTAATACCTGGATGCAACTTGTCTACGTGTCTTACTAATTTACTCCACCACGACCCTACTTCTGAACTAATTTCATTCATGGATTCTGCTTCTTCAGCAGAACCTCCCACTGACGCCTAGAGGGCGAAAGGAAATGACTGGCAATGCTGATGAGCAGAACAATTTGCCAGGGGGCTTCTCAGTGCAAGAGCAGCATTGACTGTTCACCATACAAAACTTCCTGAGCAGAATTTCCTATCAGATGTAGGCATCCTTTACATAATACTCAAAGCAAGCACTATTCTGCTTCCTGAGTAAATGACAAGGTCCCATAGTTGGAACTGATTCTCAAGCATGGTCACAAGGTGAAGATATAATTTATTTACACAACCAAAATCATCTGAAGAGCTGATTTGCACCAATATTTCCTTTACTCAGGTCTTCCAGTTGGGTTAAACAAGACACTATGTAGTCAATGGATTTGTCCTAAACTGAAGCGGTTTGAAGCAAAATTAATTTACAGGACTGTCCATGATTGGAGCGTCTTTAGTAGGCAGCGACTCCAACACCGAATGCCGCCACTACTATCGATTCGTTCTATTACTTTTTGATTACAATACTACCAGACATCTGCTGCAACTTACCACCACAGGGAACTGCAGTCATGTCACAAGTCACCATGATTTCACCTACACCTCTGACCTAGAGGTCTGAGATTGTGACTCCTTCAAATGCAGAAGTCTAACACGGCATGTAACAGTTGCTGTGGGAGCAAAGCATTGTTTTTCATAATTACTCTATTTAACTTACCATTAATCTTAAGGCAATACCTGAAAGCCTAAAAGAGATCAGCATCCATGGAGAGGCTACATGCTAACATTTATTACTCAGTAACTCCTCACCCCCAGAAATGTAACAGTTTAGGCAGATGTGAGAGTACCATCCTTGCCCAACTGGTGGGCTGACTGCAAGTTAGGGAATTATCCAACAGCACCCACAGCGTATTTGGCAGAGTTGAAATGCAAGCTTCCTGCATTCACATGTGTTGTTTTATCCATCCTCCCTCCCACTCAATAAATCTCTTTCAGATGGAGAGAAGCTCCTCTGCACATTAGCTCCTTTCCTCGTGCTCCATTTTCTAATTAGCTTCTCTGAATGTCTAGAATGACTCTTGATAAATCATTACTGTCAGGCATTCAGAGAAACATTTCAAACCTTATCAAATATATGAAATCAAAACAGCTACAAGAACTGTTCATGAGGAACTCCCAGTTTATTGCAGCATAAACCTCCAACCTAAATACTTTAATCCCAGTAGCAGAAATCCAAACACATTTAAGCGTCACTGTTTGTTATAAATGCTGTACCTTGTTCTCAGATTCCCCTGCTGAGGCAGTCCATCGTAGATAGATAATACATCAAAATCTTCCTCTAACGCAAAGGACTGGAAAACAAGCTGTATCCTGTTCTGCTCTTCAGCAGTGATTGTCCACGTGCAGTTTGCATAATTTGGATATCCATATGGAAAGCCTGGACTCTGTATTGTCCCGTTTGGGCCCTGCAAAATGTGACTGCAGTTCTGGGCTGGCAAGAGAAAAGACAAAAGTACAAGTCAAGAGGGTAACAGGATACAATATCTTCATCATCAAAATAGATCATACGGGATTCTTTCCACTGAATTTGTTCTCAGTTCCTGGCCTTGGAGAACAGAGCAATGCAGTGTCTAAAGATGGATCTTTGTCCTCCCAGCGTTCTACCTTCCCACTATTAACTTGGAGCAGTTTCAGCTCTGCACTAGCTTACACTTTGTTTTCCTATGGATACACAGGACAGTCAAAGCATAGGCCCCAGACTCCTCCCTGACAGATCCACCCAGAACCCTCAGTTTAGAGCAAGGCTACAATGCAGATCTATACCAGCCAGAGATCTCCTGGTGCAGACAGTCTATGGGACAATTCATACATGGTTTAAGATTCTGCTATATTAAGAGAAAAGCTACCAAAAGTGCTTTTTTTTTTTTTCCCCCCCCTCCAAGCACTGAAAAAGAAATGAAGTAATTTTCCTTGACCAATGCCAAACCTTTAGGAGGAACCTAGCACCCTAAGGTTGCATCTCACCGCAACCTTGCGATAGGGAACCGGTGTAAGTAGCAACACGCTCTGCCAGTAACCTTGCACCCATTTTGCAATATTTTAGTCACAAGAAAGTATCTGGTAGGAACTCAAACTCTAGATATCCATCTCCTAAGCATTCTTCCCTCTAGCTGTTAACATAACGTGCTAAGAACAAGATTATAGCTGATGCTGACCATATCCGGGAAACAGACATATACTCAAGGCCCTTTCATCCTAGGAGGCAAAGCCACACAAGTCCAACATACTCTTCAGTATACGTTGCACATTTAGGGTTTGATTCTATTTCAACTTGTGTCTAACCATGCTTGGTGCCTCAAGCATCAGGGATTCACAGGCTACAAAACAGAAGAACGATAATGCCAGTTGACTCTTACCATTAGTTGCGTTGGAGTAATAGATAGAAAACTCAACTAAGATCAGGGCTCAGTTATGCATGTAGAAGACGACAGACCACCCCCACCTCAAAAGGTCAGAAGTTGTGATGGACCTAATACATACAGGCAAATAGAGGAGCTGAGATACAAAATGAGTAGTCTATCTGGTCAAGACTGCATAGAAACTGAAGAGAAAAATCAGAAGCTGACCGCATCCTGACACCCCTCAGCAGAGATGGCCTTTTCTGTAACCACCTACAGGAAAACTGTCCAAAGAGTAGGATGCAGTTCAAAGGCTTCAAACAAACCAATCAACCATCCTTAGTTATTTGTAATAAAAAAAAAAAAAAAAAAAAGCTTTGCAACTTCCTGAAATATCAGCTTTCCCCCCCCCAGCCACAATCTTTCCAGTAAATATTGCTCACTATCCCCGATTTCCAGCAGACAAGAGCTTCTGGGGGGTGGGGGGGCCTTACAGAGGGTCTTTCCATGCAGACTCTATTAAAGGAAAGGTATATTCTCACTTGGTCTTTCTGGTTTGCATATCCTAAACTGGCAAGTGTACCACAGAAAAGCAGTATGGACCACAGCCCAGGGCCAAGAGCCTCCCCTCCATCAGCAGCAGTGGTACTCACCCCTATTGGACCTGATAGGGAACATGGAAAATAGAATTGTTGACTAGACCCAAGCTGCTCAGGCTGCTCTTATTTCTCTCTCTCTCTCTCCCAGTTTTGAAAGGTTCCAGCTCTTCACACAGGCTAAATGCAAAGCAAAAGCCTTCCAATCACTATTCCTAAGGAGCTGCCTTGACTCCAGAGCTACATTTGTGCCCACTGGTTAAATGCTTAACAGCTCCTTCAAACCCATTCTTCTTTCCCCAAAGCCGTACCTGTGAACACTGTCCCAAAGATAAGATCAACTGCCATGACTTACAGTTTCTGGATATACAAGATTTTCTTCTTTCTGGAGAAACAGGTACATAACACGTGCATGTTGAACAGCATAAACGCCACAAGAATTCTCCCTAGTCGTTCTCTCTTCACTGTTACCTTACCCAACTTCTTTGGCAGCACAAAGAAACTCTCCTCAAACACAGGCTGCTAAAATTCCTGCTTTTTTGTTCTTATTTATACCAAAGCTAAATTCCAGATAGTTTGCAAGGGAACTGTTGTGAAACCAAAAGCAAAATTCCACACTTATCCTATGACAGATATTTGATGCTGATCATTGCTGCCTACAATTGCTCTGGCTCTTCTCACTGATGCTGGATTTACCCTGTTTATGCAGATAACTGAGGCTTTCAAGTTGAAATGGATCAGACTAGAAATTACTTCTTTTGATTTCTGTTTGCTTTTTTCAAAGGCAGCAATGGCATTTGCACTTCTGAGTGCCAACCAGCTACAGGTAAAAAAAAAAAAAAAAAAAAAAAAAAAACCACCACCACCAGCAGAGTAGTGCTCATTAAAACCAATTATAATTAGATTGACCTACTTTGGTGCAAAAATGCTTAGTGGAACTTGTCTCTGCAAGATGAAGCTCACACCTTTATGAATCTAAAATGGTCAATCATATTTACTACCCAGGAAATCTTTTTGTATCATGTTTACTGCATCAATGAGACAGCCCCATAATCCAAAGAGGAATAAAGCTCAGCTAGGCACATAACTCATATTGACAAAGGCAGACAATATTACTTTGCATTTCTGTAGCACCTGGCATCTGCCTCTCTCAGCGCATTTTGTCAATACATAATACATACAAGAGTGAAACCTCCCTCCCTCCTCCACTTCAGTTCCATTTATTTGTAGAGTTCACTGAAAGGATGCATCAGCTTGGTGCCAGGAAATTGCAAAGGAGCAGGAATATTACCACACCATAGAGGGATAAAATTAGGTCTGGTTTGGTTTAATAACTTGAATGTTGCCAAAGATCCATAAACTTCAGTTCTCTAAAATTCAATCACATCCTCTTTTCTTCACCCAGACTGGTATTCAGTAGGCAATGTGGGGATATATATAGTCTGTCTCTACTGTACTGGGTTTTTTTTATTTTAATCATAAGTAAAGATCACAGAACAATTTAAGGAAATTGGGAAATTAAAGAGGCTGTATCTCTGCATTTCCTGATGGTACAAAAGCTACTGATGCTGCGTGAAGTTGAGAAAACTTTCAAGGTCAGAGACAGCGTTCCAAACACTTCCAAGGGCACATGAAAGGCAACTAGATTTCAGATCAGTATAAATTTATGCTGTCCTTGCATAATTAGTGATTAAAGCAAAGAACAAAGGCCAGAAAAACGTGCGTCATCTTAAACTGATACTAGCTGAAGAAAAACAAGTATGCAATAGAAAAATAGGACACAGTTCCCTAACATATCAAACCAGCCTACTGAAATAATCACACGTTCGTGATTCTGACCAAGACGTGCTTTGGACACAGCTAACAAAATTGCTCATTGTAGACAAAAATTAGTTTTCCAAAAGCTGACAATCTGGAAAGCAATATATTCAACTATAGTAATAGTAGGGAACTTGGTTTATACTGAACACTGATGAAAATAATCAGCAGGCATGGGAAAGATCTGGGACACCCAAGAGAATTTATGCACGCGCTATAATTTGGTTTCAGGTTTGAGTTAGTTCACCTCTGGCTAGGCTGCCAAAAACCTTACCTAATGTACATGACAAGAAAACACTACGTTTCTCCTCTCAAGACTGGCAAAAATAGTTATCCCTTCGGCCCATAAGCATGAATAAATACAAAGGCATAAACAGACAGTACCAGAGTCAGTGCTAGGAAGTTTCAGATGAATTCATATCTGATAGAAGACCGATGCATTCTCTCCAACCCAGAAGTTTTACGAGACACCTCCACACACCTTAACCCAAGTAACAGGAATATAGCAATTTCCACAACAGATCAGATCAATCTACCTTGTCCTTTTTCCTCATCTCTGATGGGCCATGCCAGGGGACTGCAAGAAACAGTAGTTACAGGACAAGCTGCACCCAGAAGCTTCCTCCTTTACACCTGCTGTAGGTTAACACCCACCCTGACTTCAGGAGAATCAGCACCCTTCCAGAAGGGCTGCACTTCACCTCACTTTGCCTATCTTTACCCAAAAGCTGCAATAGCGAAAGAAATGGTAAATGCATAAAGCTAGGAGATGTCATTTGCCAGAAGGCCCAGTGTGGCAGTGCAAACATTTATGCAGTCGTTCCGACTTTTAACACTAACGTTCATGGGACTAGCACTTTCCAAAGGCACACCAACATGAAACTCATCAGTGGATATGCATTTGTGGGCAAATGTCCTATTTTGTGACAGAGATGAGTAGTCTGAGAAAGCAGCTATATCTAACAAGTACCCTGCCAATGCAACCTGCTATTTTCAATTCTGGGAAGTGGTTTATCCTGAGGATATATCTTTTAAATGAAAGCATCAATGTAATTGTATTCCAGCAGCACTTAAAGGTTTGAGACAAGGACGAAGACAAAATCACGTCTGGCACTGTCCAGTGGACAAACAGCCTTTTTCCAAAGAGGTCACCATCTGAGGGCAAGAGGAAAGAAAAAGAATCCAAAAAATTCCATGCTAATTAGGAAGACTTAGGACTTTGCCCCCTCTTCTGCGGCACAACCACTTCCTCAATGACAGAGTTTAAAAGTGAGCTTTACCTGTCTCGACTACTTACTTTCTGCAATATACACCATTTGTACCATATAAACAGACTAATAAGCTTCACTTCTGGCTCACACGCATGAGAAAAATGACAAAATATTTAGTTTGCAGTATGCTTATAGAAAAACCACACTTCTAACAGAAAGATGCCCTACCTGTGGTATAACAGTTAATCTGCACACCACTAAACTTAATATGACTGGACACCTGAAGAAGCAAGGAACAGCCGGAGCTGTATCAAGCCTTTTTTTTCTTTTGGTTATTGTTAAGTTGCAAAACCTTCAAACTTCAGGATATCAAACCACCACTTGCCTACAAGACAGGCAGGAAGAACGTCCACATACTCAAGAATTGAAATTTCTTTCAACAATACAAGCCACGTGACTGGAGAGAAG